CAACAGTAATGAAAATACTATCACTACAGTGATAAGGACTGTGTCATCCTTACAATAAGATCCATGTCCTTACAGTAAGTAGCGTACCACTACAGTAATAACTACAATATTCCCAAGGCACGCACCAAACTTGATCGACTGCCCTTTTAATTCAACCAAATTGGCGGCTGGAAGGAGGAGCATTGTGACCTAGTTGAGGCTAGAGAGTGATCAGAGAGCAGGATCGCAAGAGAGACGCAGACTGCGTTGCGTGCGGGCGTGAGCGGTCGAATTTCAGCCGCCAGTTTTGTTGAATCAAAGGGTAGCTTCCCCTCACCCACTTCGCTATTGGTCAAAGCAATGAACTGACCAATAGCGAAACTAATGCCCAGTTGATCCCACTTCATCCATCTCGCCACTGCTCCCTTCACTGACTTGACCAATAGCGAAGTGACAAATTGGCTCAAGCGGATCAAGTTTGGCGTAGCGTGTGCCTAAAGTAATAAGTACCATAACCCTGCGACAATTTTTCTCGCATATGCGTCTATTGTGCTTTGATCTTGTCTATTTAATCCTTTTTTAAGGTATTGGTCTGTGACCGATATTAGCTGCGTACGAAATAGAACACCGAAGCGTATAGTGATAATGTTGGCGATAATCTGGATGACGTCCATTGTCATTAGCTTAGCACCATTTGCCGGTTGGAAAGATGAAGGATTAAGGATCGCGTACTACGACAGCATGTGTGTCTCATAAGTCAACGCTATCAGGTTAGGGCATAGTTCGAGGCTTTTGAGTTAGTCCTTTAAAATGTCAGACTAGAAAGGTTAGTCAGGGTCCACGTTAGAGCGAGCCAGGGTAAGGTTGAAAAATGCAAAATATAATGAAATACATAAATACCTTAACACATTCACAAGGCCGATTTTTCGATGACCCTGGACCAGATATCGCAATATATACAACAGTGCTATGATATTTTCTGTACGATTTTTGGATAATTTTTGCATACTTTTTGAACGTTCTGGAGATGTTCGTTTGATTTTTGGCGCACTTTTGTGTATGACAATAAACAATAAACAATAAACAATATTGAGTTTGCGTAATATTTCCTGGCCACTGATGGGTCTCTTGGTTTGAAGTGTCAATTCTTTGAGAATCGCAAGAAATGTTTAAGAAGTTTTTCCGTTTTGCCCGAAAAGTTTCATCGTAAGCTGGTGAGTCGTGAGCTGTTCCAAATGGCAGAACACGTATGACCCACCGGTGGATCGTATTGCCTTCGATATGCTAATGCCAATTTTTTCTTGCAAATACTTAACCCTTTCAAATAGCTGCCTTACTCACTTTACTTTCCCATGAAAGCATTTCCGTCCGTGGAGACTTTCTTCTTAAAGTAACACGGCATTTTTTTTAATGGGCACGAACTTTCACCGCTAACCAAACAGTTGGTGCAAATCAAAATCACGTTTGCTAATGGATTATGCGAAAATCTCATGAAGAGGGATATGTGTATGAGTTTCGGGAAAGTTTTGAGCCCAAAAAAACTGCAGTGAGGGCAATTGCCGTTCTAGGTGTATCAATTCTTTGTCACTAATTATGGTCTAATTTTGTCTCGGGAACTGTGGCTATGCAATTTACATTTTTCCAAGTTTTCGTCCAGAATAGGCTACCGAGGATGAAAAGGGTAACAGCCAAGAATGGTGCGAATTCATTGATGTCTTGAAAAGCCAATTGTATCTTTGATGGTGTCGTATCTTACAATGGCACTTTATCGATAGATATTAGGTCATTCCGAAAGTAATTTCGCTTTTTTCAAACGAGCGCCACGTTTGATACAACAAAGGTTTTTGAGAGATCTTGAATGTATTCGATGCAGAATTTCATTCTCTTTCTGATGGTCATGAAATTGTTGCAAAACAGTCGATGGGCTTTCAGAAAATAACCAGAATTTGCGACCCATGCTTTTTGAGATGGTCAAGTTTCACGATTTTTCAAAACTTTCATATTAATCCTCAGAAGGAGTTCAAGCAACGATTCGATAGAGTAAACCTTATAGAATACAGAACTGCTTTTTTTCTTTTTCATATCTTGTCATACATTTTAACAGAATTTTAACTGATGCTACCGATTTCCATACTTGGGCAGCTAAATCCTCGTAGAACATCAAAAGAAGAGCAGCTCGCGCATTATTCGATGCAGCATTTTCTCCTCTTTCTAACAGATGTTTTTCGTCTCCGATTCGTTTAGTTTTCGGGGAGAAATCATCATAACTCACTTTTTTAGCGAGCCTCAGGCTGTATCCGAAAAACTCGAAATTTGATATTTCGAACCCGTAAACCCTCCAACTTATAGTACCATCTTGGTAGTCTCAAATTCCGAATAATTATGATGTTTGATGCGATTGTGACCGATGTGGGCCTGCCAAAATCCGATGGTTTTGTTAAAAAATCTTTTAAAAAATTACGGCGAGATATGAGAAAGAGGCAAAAGTAGTGCTATATTCTATAAGGTTTACTCTATTTAATCGTTACTTGAACTCCTTCTGATGATTGATATGAAAGTTTTAAAAAATCGCGAAACTTTACCATCTCAAAAAGCATGGGTCACAGATTTTGGTTATTTTCTGAAAGCTCGTTGACTTTTTTGCAACATTTTCATAACCTTTAGAAAGAGAATGAAATTCTGCATCGAATGCATCCAAGACCTCTTGAAAATCTTTGTTCTTTCGAATGTGGCGCCCGTTTGAAAAAAGCGAAATTCTTTCGGAATGATCTAATACATAAGCGTGAAACACAGTGTATTTTGAGGAAAATTCTTGAAAGTCGAGAAAAATTGGCCAAGAGATGCATCTCTTGCCAAAAATTCGAAAATTTTGGAGCAATTTGTTCATTAAAAAGATAAGAGAACGGTTATTTATTGGTCATTAAAAATTCCATAATAAAGCCAACACTTTTTGATCGCGTTGTTTTTGCTGGGCTCACCATCGTATTTGTCTTTCAGTCGACAGATTTCAGCATACCTGGAGAAAATTACAATTTTTAGGATGTAAAGAATTTGCAAATTTTGTCTATGCTACGGTATCCACGGGATCCTTGAAGAAAAAATCAAAGCAACAAAGACCAAAAGCATAACCTTGCACCTATCCCAGTACTTATTATGATTACGGTAGCTTACTGCAGTCGCGCACGAAAATTCCTCCAATTTGTTTTGGAGACAATTTCTTGTCTCGTATTATACATGCACTTTTATTTGATGCACATTCGGCAGCAGCATTGCAATCTCTGATGTCTGATTCGCCACTTACGAAAAATTGGATTACCCTTCAATGCTCACGCGGAGAGCTTTTCAGCCAAAAATGCTTCGTGATTCTCAAGCTTATAATAATCCTATCAAATCTTCATCTTGCAAGCCAGGTTTACATTTGCAGAACCAGGGAATTGTTCCCTTTTTTTGGGTGTTGAAAATTACGGTAGCGCGGCAAAAGAGAAAGGCACATTTCCTACAGTTTTTCTTAGTCTTTTCAAATATGGATGAGCTTGTAAGGGTGTAAGACAGAAAGGCACGTATGCAGCAGGGAAGAGCACAAAAAAGGAAAAATCACTAGAAAAATCTCCTATACATACTTCTTACGCTTCATATGACTTTCATTATTTCAAAATCCTATAAAACCTCGCGCTTTTCACATTTTATCTTTGAAAAAAAATTATGGAGATTGAATTTTCAACAGAAAGGCGTAGATAGAATATTGTACCAATTTTTATCAAATTAGAGAACCTTTTGGTGACTTTTATCAATTTGGAATTTACATCAGATATTGTAAGGTAAAGCTTGTGGGTTTGCTTTTGGATATAAATAACTTGGAATAATTTTAATGAAGGGATAAGAGAGGGGGGGGCTAAAGGAAACGCAAGGGTTGAATAATATAATTTTTGGAATTTTTTTTGGGAGCACTTGGCTTTTTCTTACACTGCTAGAAATACTAGTCAAGAGAGAAGATCTCATTTCGTTATTTTTATTACGATTTTTCGAGATCTTGCACTTTTGAAACTGAGCAAAGTCTCACACTTTCTATAATTGGGTAATTGAACTTTTCAATGAAGTGCAAAGTTTTGCAAAGTTAGCAGTGGGTATTGCAAAAGTTGCACTTTTAATTAAGTGAGTGCCTTTGGAAGGCTTTTTCTGTCAGTCGGCACCACGTAGGGGAAGAAAAATCATTGCAATTATTCTCGGGAAAAAGCATGAAGGCCGAATAAATTTCTAAAGCATCAAAACTTTTTCCTGGTTTTTTTTTCATCTGCAACATAATCTACTGGAAACCTTACGAAACCAAATTTTTCTCTTGTATATGTTCGCAATTTTTTAAAAATAAGAGAATGGAATTGTTTAATGATACTTCTTCTTCTTCATCCCATGCTAAATTTTTCATGATTACTTAATTTCTTTTTTATTATATTTGATTTTATCTTAACTCTTGTAGCTTGATGCATTTCCTTTCTATTTGCAATAACCAGGTTTTTTCGGCACGTCAATGATGCAATTCAAATAAATAAATAAATAAATAAATAAATAAATAAATAAATAAATAAATAAATAAATAAATAAATAAATAAATAAATAAATAAATAAATACATTTTTCCGTCGCCTCTTGAGTAAAGATGTGTCTACGTTGTGCTACGAAACACACTTCTTGCGTCATAATTGGGTTTCTGTCTCCAGAGATTACTCTCATCCCAGAAAGGAATCCAATCTCGAGCCGAACGCACTAAACCCTACAAAGACGGCAAACTCTTCGTCGAAACTATAAAAAGACTTTGTAGAATTTTTACAAACGAAGACTAAAGAACTTTGAAATGGGCTTCTGGAATGTATTCGATAGATTTGTTTAGTACTAGGAAAAAATTCAAAAATAATTTGATGAATGAAAAGAAAGAAAACAACTCAAAAAACTATATCACAATTATTGTGAATACTTCCAGGTGTTTTCCACCGCGACAGCATTCTATATTCCATTGATAGCGATAATATGTATATACTGGAAAATTATGAGAGCCGCAAAGAAGAGGTAGAAAAATTTGTGGAATTTCAAATTCTGAAAATTATGTTTATTGCCGATATTTCAGGTTCAGAAGAGAACGGGATCGACGTACCATTATACGTCAACCAGAAGAACAGCAGAAAAATCTGCACCCCTCATTCTCAAAAAGAACAAAAAGGTTGGCATATTTGTTGAGGAAATTTTGTAAATCAAATTCTGACGAAATTTGATTGAAGATTCTTTGAAATACGAGAAAAAAAGCTTTTTAAAACAGAGAAATTGAGACGTAAAAGTAAGACTAACTTTTGAAATTGTCTTTCCATTTGTAGACCATATAAAGAACTGGATTAGTTTTTTACACTTACTGTAACATTCAAAACTTTTCCTCGTAACCACTTTAAGTACATATATTAGGTTGTCCCAAAAGTTCTTGCGCCGCATTTTCAAAAAATCATAACTTCCTTGCCATTCCATGAATTTTTTTGATTTTAATCTCATCTGAAAGAGGAAACCTTTCTCTTTACAACTGTATCTTTGCTGTGAAGCGGCGTTAAAAAGTTCCAAAGCTAGAGACAATTGAATGAAATCAGTCAAGATCGACATTTTTCAAGCTGGGTCACGAAAAAATCTGGAAGTATTTTTATTTGATAGAGAATATTTTGCACATTATAGTGGTACCTTTCCCATGATTTAAAACGAAAAAGATAGAGAGTTAGGAGCAAATAAAGAGAATTTCTTCAGTTTTGCAACTTTTGAGCATGCTCAAAAAAGCCTGGAAATGTCACAGAAAAACGCGAATGTCATGGGCATAAGTTTTGTGACCTTGTCTTTCTTGCTGAGCAAGTTTCGAGCTAATCGAGAGCATTTTTGATTTTCGTGAAAAACGCACTCCTGAAAATCCGAAAAAATCACGAAAAACAAAATTGCTCTCGTTTGACACAGTTTTTGCTCATTCAGAAAGAAAAGGTTACAAGACCCATAATCGTGGCTTTCCCGTTTTCTCGGTGAGGTTTTTAGGTTTTTTGGGCACGTTCAAAAATTGCCAAACTAAAGAAATTTTCTTTATTTGCTCCTAATTCTCGATCTTTTTATTTTCAGTTTATGGGAAATGTACCACTGTAATGAGCAAAATTTTCTCTATCAAATAAAAATACTTCCAGAATTTTTCGTGACGCAGCTTGAAAAATGCCGCTCTTGACTGATTTCATTCAATTGCCTCTAGCTTTGGAATTTTCAACGCCACTTCACAGCAAAGATACTGTTCTAAAGAGAAAGGTTTCCTCTTTCAGATGAGATAAAAATCAAGAAAATCCATGGAGTGGCAAGGAAGTTATGATTTTTTGAATAATCGGCGCAAGAACTTTTGGGACAACCTAATATATTTTTTTACAAACCTGAGAGTAGCCTTTAGCTCTTGGAAAAGTTGAAATGATGATCGTTTGTGCAAAATTATTTGTGTATAGATCTGCATTGTTCTTTTCAGCCATCATCAGAAGCACTTCAAATCCCATCGCCACCAACAATGGTGACAAATGTAGAAAAAAGTGAAGATTTTAGGAACAAAAAGGTAAAAGTCCTTATTTTACAATTGAGTCATACCAATGAATAAACCTAGTTTCGGGGAATAACAGTAGATTCATCAACATCAACACAATCCGAAGAGGGCAATGCTAAGCATAATGTGCCCGAGCAAGAGACTAAACTCGATGACATGGTGCAGAAAGGTAGATGAAGTTGAATAGCGCATTTTTAACCGTCAAAAATGATGGAAGTAATTTAGGAAATGGAAAGGAAAAACATCCAGTGAAAACTGTGATCACAAAGAAGAAAAGGAGAAAAGAGAATGCAAAAACGAAACGTGAACGAAAAGCATGGCACACACTGGCCATAATTACGGGTAAATGACAAAAGTTCACATCAGGTTTTAGGCTACTTCACAATTGCATAGTCGCATCGCAGCATCTTTCCGTAGGCTTGCGACGCGGCTGCGGCGCGGCTATGCAGAGATCTGCTAAAACTGAGTTGTTTACAGGTACTTTTGTCGCATGTTGGACACCATTCTTTCTTGTCTCATTATATCGTCCAATTTGTGGTTGTACCATACCACGGCTTCTGGAAACGGTTACGTCTTGGCTAGGTAACATTCAGATTGAATTTCCTTTTTTCAAATGATTTACTATGGCCGTTTAGGTTACCTGAATTCAGCGCTCAATCCGATTATCTACACTGTCTTCTCGCAAGATATGCGTGCCGCCTTCAAGAAAATTCTGAAGAAAATCTGTTTACTCAAGGAGAATTAGACTTTTTGAGCATGTCTCATCAATATGCTCATAAAATGCGATACGATTACGATCTCTGCCAAATTTGTACTAATGAGTGCTTGCCACAAAGCTTCCATTCGCCGTATGTGCCATTGTGACTAAGCTCCAATGTTTTCATGTTTTAGCCTCACGTAGAAATTTTTTGTAATTCGATACGTTGCTTGTTTTTTTTGGTTTATGAGTGTATCACTATAGCTGGTAGAGATCAATTGCATTGTGTAAAAACTGGGATGAGTACGGGTACATTAAAAAGTAAAAAGAGAATAAATGACTTGATAAAAATGCTGTTTTCCTCAGCTGGAACCAAATAAGTCGTTTCACAAATTCATAGAGTTTCGATGGAATCAACGAAGTGACAAAATTTTAGCAAAATTTAGTCAACAATGTTCGTTCCGTTGTTGCGTACAACCTTCTACCATCATGCCATCAGATTTCTATTTAAATTTAGCGGGTCCGGTCCCAGACAGTCATTTACCGGCGCTGAGATCGTCATCAAAATCGAAACAGACGCCTTTCATATGAATTGTGATAGACCGAAACAGATGCCAATTTGCCCGAGCCCTTCCGATCAAGTCTTGCAGGACAGCCATAACGACGGCTGCCGCAGGGGCCAAGTTTTGTCGCGCAAGAGAGCTCGATAAACTTGTTTATCAGGGCTTCTGCTAACTCAAATGTGGATTCTTGAGTGCACTTTTTCTTTTCTTCAATCGATATAGTAAATAGCTTTGTTTTCCTTTTTCCAAGTACGCTATGCCAATAAGACGATAATTTGCACAGAAGTTAAGGTATATTCACTGTAGAACTTACAAACTAAACTTTATCCTGTACTATTTTCATCTCGTTTAGAAGAATACATGCAGTGTTTTAAATTAGCATGAGTAACATCTATGGTGCATAAATGTAGTGAATAATCTTCTCCACATTCCATTCTGGCGCTATGCCAATAGGACGATAATTGGGCACGAAGTGTAAAGGAAGGTTGCCCAATAAATAATTTCGTTTTGAGATGCAAATTCACAGCTCTATAACAGTTCAAGTAGTAGCTTTTCAGATGAGATTTTCTTGTAAGAGGATAACTTTAACCTCTGCTTCTAAATATCAAGTAATCAGGAATTTTCTGTCACCAAATAATGACAGATGCCCTTATATGACCAGATTTCTAAAAAATCGCTTTTTTGACTTTCTAAGTTTAGTTCCCGTCCTGTAGTAAGCGCACAAGGCAGTAAATTAACGCTTGGATACATACGACCCTTCGGCTAGATGCGAATTACAATAAAGGTTGTGACCTGGTATATGAATTTTTGTAGCCAAAAATGTGAAAGTTTTCAGGCATTCGCGCGTGGAAGTCGAGTTTTGGGCATTTTACTCGAATTTGACTACCTATGGCCATGTAATCGGTTGCAGATATGAAAACCTGCTGTGTGTGTACCGAATCTACATTTGAAACTTGACTAGTTCGTTCAGAGCGTGATTTTTCGAAAATTTAAGGAAAAAATCTTACCATTTTCAAGTAAAAATATTTTTACCATCCTTCTTTCCTGCGCCATTTCGTTATCATAAAATCATTTTGAAGAGAAGAAGTTGCCTAGCCGATTCTCCTTGATTTGCTCTCTCCAACGGTATCATAAACCCAGGCAAAAATTGGTATGTAACATTTCTACAAACCGCCAAAGGCGATCGATTTTATTTTTTAGTCAATAATATATTCACTGGTATAGGAATCACAAAAGAAATTTTTTTGTACAAATTTTCACTCCCAGTTGAAAAAAATTTATATAGTGCCCTTGAGATAACATAAATACAGTTATGACACTGGAATGTGAAAATCGGCGAATTCGGCGATGTCGGCGAATTCGCCAAAATCGCCGAAAAACGCATCGTCGCCGACTTCGCCGACATCGCCGAGAATTTTCACATTCCAAAGTCATAACTGTTCGAATGCATGTATGAAGCAAATTTGATAATTTCCGCTTACTTGGGTTATTCGACGTGCTAACAACATTTCTTACATTGTTTTGCTGCTGGTGGCACATTATAGAATAGAATATCTGCCAAATTACACCACTTTGAATTTGAATGACAATTCATGAGAAGGCGATTTTGTAACATCATGATCTGACGAACAATGCAGATAAAGATCTGCGCTAAGCATGGTCCGGTAGAGGTGTTCACAAAGTTTTGAAATCACAAAAATATGCAGACAATTTTCGCAATAGATAGGCAAAAAGTGCCGGCGAATTTGCGATTCTGAAGTGTTGAGTCACTTCTATCTCACTTTAGCTTTACTGTAAGACTCTCTAGTGCAAAATAAATAGGATTTTTGTAATGATCGGGACCAAAAACCACTATGAGCGAAGTTTCCGGTAAATCCGAGAACCTCAATATTTTGACCAAATCTTGTGCCGAGGCCAAGAGTGAGGAGCGAGCACGTTATATCAGTGTGTATTGCTTCTAAGAAGCTGGAAAAAATATGGGATGTATAGGTATGAGAAAGGTGTCTAACGTGATATTTGGGGGAATTACGGGGCAACTTTGTGAGAGCTGTACGGCCTAAGCATGCATGTTGGGGGACTAATAACTCTGCGAATATTACAGATATGAGGCTGCAGTTTGTTATTGGACAGATCTCTAAAAATATGATTTTTAGAGAGAAGGTCGTAGAATAACAAGTTTCCAATAAAAGTGCCTAATTGACAGCTGAACTTGGGAAATCAATAAAGGCGAGTTTGCGCCCTTATATCTCTGCAAGTGGTAGGGTTGGGGTAATCACTTGTGATCATTGATATGTACTTTTGTTAGCTCTATTTTTCTAGGGGTAGATCATGCTGTAGCTCCACCGTAGGAGGCGCTATATAAAGGCGATGAAGCATATTTTGAATTTTATCTTCGTGGAGAGTAGGGATAACAGGCTGGGATAGCCATTCTTCAGTTTAAATTCGAGGGGGACACCACATATAATTCGAAGAAAGCTTTTTTTCAGTTCAGGGTTTCGCAAGTTCTCACTTTTCTCCCTCCCCTCATTTTTTCCCCTCTCTTTATTTCTGCAGCGCGTGTGATAGTTACCCGCGGCCATCTGGACCTGGTTAGGGGGATGAAAACGGCATAGAAAGGGGGTAAATCGGGTTAGAAAAACGCGATTTTCGCTTGTTTTTCCTTATTTCTTATTTTCTTCAATTTCGATCGTGATGTGGGGTATAAAATGGACGGAGCTTGCTTGGAGGAGTTTCAGCTGTATAAATGCACTGGAAATGAGCTTATTATGGAGTTTTTCGAATTTTTCGCTTAGTTTTTGATTTTATCGATTTTTGTCAATTTTCGGGATTTCGCAAGCTTCAAAATATCGATTTTAACAATTTCGCCGATTTTTGGGATATCGAGTTTTGTCAATTTTCGGGAATTCGAAACTTCAGATTATTGATTTTATCGATTTTTGTCAATTTGCGAGATTTCACAACCTTCAGAATATCGATTTTGTCGATTTTCGGGGTTTCGCAACCTTTAAAATATCGATTTTATCGATTTTTGTCGATTTTCGGGATCTCACAGCTCTTAGAATACCGATTCTATCAATTTTTGAAGACTTGGTGGTTCACTAATCTCCAAAATATCGATTTTTCGCTCTATAGCTGTGAACTGTAAGCCCCGCCTACTTATTACTATACAATACCGCTCACAAAATGTGCAAAATTTCCGTGAATATCGCGAAATTCCGAAAATCCCGCGAAATTCCTGGAATATCGCGAAACTTCGCGACTTTCCGAAATTTCGCGGAATTCCGAGAATTTCGCGGAATTTTCGGAATTTTGCGACATTTTTGGAAATTTTGCACATTATGTGAGCGGTATTGTATTAGGTCATTCCGAAAGTAATTTCGCTTTTTTTAAACGGGCGCCACATCTGATGGAGCAAAGATTTCTAAGTGAATTTGGAGGCATTCGATGCAGAATTTCATTCTCTTTTCAATGGTTATGAGATTGTTGGAAAACAGTCAATGAGCTTTCAGAAAATAACCAAAAACTGCGACCTATGCTTTTTGAGATAGTCAAGTTTCACAATTTTTTAAAAGTTTCATATCAGTCCTCAGAAGAGGTTCAAGTGACGGTTCGATAGAGCAAACCTCATAGAATACAGTGCTACTTTTTTCTCTTTTCCATAGCTTGTCATACATTTTTAACAGAAATTTAACTGATGCTACCGATTTCCATACTTGGACAGCTAAATCCTCGTAGAACATCAAACCTTAAGCAGCTCGAATGTCATTCGATGCAGCTTTTCCACCTCTTTCTAATAGGTGTTTTTTATTTCCGATTCGTTTAGTTTCCGGGGATAAAATCATCGTAACTCATTTTTTTAGCGAGCCCCAGGCTGTACCCGATATGCTCGAAATCTGATATTTTGAACCCATAAACCCTCACTTGCTTTGTAAAATTAATGCTAGCTCATAGTACCATCTAGGTAGTCTCAAATTCCGAAAAATTGTGTTGTTTGATGCGATTGTGGTTGCGGTGGGCCTGCCAACATCCGATGGTTCTGTTAAAAAATCTTTTAAAAAATTACAGCGAGCTACAAGAAACGGAAAAAAGTTGCACTGTATTCTATGAGGTTTGCTCTATCGAACCTTCACTTGAACTCCTTCTGGGGATTGATATGAAAGGTTTAAAAAATCGTGAAACTTGACCATCTCAAAAAGCATGGGTCGCAGATTTTGGTTATTTTCTGAAAGCTCATTGACTGCTTTGCAACAAATTCATAACCATTGAAAAGAGAATGAAATTCTGCATCGAATGCCTCCAAAATCGCTTAGAAATCTTTGTTCCATCAGATGTGGCGCCCGTTTAAAAAAAGCGAAATTACTTTCGGAATGACCTAATATCTGGCTGGTAAACTGATAAATCCGCAATTTTCTCACCTGCTGCTAGCAGATGACATTAGAAACGGCTTGTGAATGTTTTCATTCAAATCTTCAAGCTGAAGTGATC